AGGGAATCATGAATTTCGAGTGTTCAAATATCCAAAGTTCGTATATTAGCTTTCAAAATCCCTACAAGTTTAAATTGCCAGGAAGCCATTTCGCTTATTATTTATGGATTATATGTGTATTATATATCCCACTGGATCGACGACTATTACTGTATAGCCACTATCAAAATAATAGCCGTATATATATATATATATATATATATATATATATATATATATATATATATATATACACAAACACAGACACACACACACACACACTGAATGTTATATACAAAAATTATATAAATTTTATACAGTTTTTGACTACCGAATGTAAATAGTTTCTAGCACGGGCTAAAAATTTAAGAGATTTTTTCTTTCCTATACCATATATGAAAACCTATTACCAAAAATGTGCATAGTTTCTAATTTACCCGCCATGTCCATATTTTTTCTACAGTTATTATACCAATCATTAAATACTAATTAATAGTAGCTGAATCTTCCTAATTTGTCGAGCTAAAATTGAGGAACAGAATACTCTAAAAAGATTTGGCGTAAATCAGATCAAATCATATTCTTCCAGATATTCCTATTTAGGCGCGCTACAATTATGGAATTAAATATTCTTCCAGATATTTTCCACCATTGGTAGCCATTAAAAAGCTTCAAAGCTTTGAATTCAAATTTGGGTTTTCAAAAATTATTATTTGTTTGGATTGGGTGTTGTTGAAAATAATCGGGAATATGGTTTGGAGTTTATATCTCAATTTTGAGGGATTTTGGTGAAGATTAGACTTGATTTTGACTGAAATTCAGATTGAAACTCGAAGAAGAAGAAGAAGAAGACATATTGCAGAAATTGTAGATAAATTGTAGATTATTTTGTATTCTAATTGTAGATGCTTTATTTTCTGTTTTCACAAATAAAAAACGGCTAAACTTCTACAAATCTTCTGAAAAAACGTAATTATGTCAAAAATCACAATTATGCTACAATTGAAATGGGAATTGCGATATTAAAATTCAATGTATCCAGTTTGTAGATATTTTGTAGATAAATTGTAGATTATTTGTATTCTGATTGTAGATGCATTGTTTTCTGTTTTCACAAATCCAAAACGACTAAAACTTCTACAAAATCTTCTGCAAACAACAGTCTACAATTTTTCTACAATTTCTGCAATATGTTTTCTTCTTCTTCTTCTTCTTCTTCTTCTTCTTCTTCTTCTTCTTCTTTGAGTTTCAATCTGATTTTCAGTCAAAACCAAGTCTAATCTTCACCTAACCCCTCAAAATTGAGATATAAACTCCAAAATATATTTCCAATTATTTTCAACAACACCCAATCAAAACAAATAATGATTTTTGAAAACCCAAATTTGAATTCAAAGCTTCAAAGTTTTTTAATGGTTGTCAATGGTGGAATTGCTGCTCTCTTGTCTCTTTGAAGGTTTGTTCTTTCTTCATTGAGAAAATTTGAAGCTGAAGGTAAATGTGTATATGAACTTTGAAGATTTGACTTCAATTTGGATGAACTTTGTTGTTCTTCATTGATGAACTACAACTGGAGTAAAATGGGGAACCAACTTTGTTGAAGGGTTTCTTCAATTTTCTGTGAATTTAGAGGGAGAATTTGGTTTCAGAAGATGGAAAATGGTAAAAAGAACGTGGGTATGGGTAAAACGTGGGTGGAACTGAGGGGTTAGGAGAGAGAAACGTGCAGATTCCTTTAATTAAGGAGTAAAAAATGTACAATTAATTATACCCTTAATTAATTATGGTATAGAATTGGTAATTTGGTATACTAAGTGTAATTAAGTCAAACCTTAAACATTGAGGGTAATAAGGTTTCCTATGTGGCATAGGAATGTAAAAATTCCAAAATTTAAAAGGCCCTTACTTTTTCGACTAGGAAAATTGATTCGGCCCAAATCATTGTATCAATGACCCAGTCCAGTAGAAAGCGTTCCTTACTTAGTCCACTAATAAAGCCCAATTTTTGAACGTCTTTTTTCTCCCATTCCTTCCAAATAGGCCTTTGCATAATACTCATATATATGATCCAAGTAAAGGTTAATCGGAAGAAATTCAAAAATAGCTATATTTTCACGTGGTCATTAAAATTAGTCATAGTTTTAAAAGTAATCGAAATTTAGCCACTTTTTATGTAAAGATAAATCTGAACAAAAATATTGTTCAACATCCGAAAAATACTCCAGAATAATATACTGGAATTTCAGTATAATATATTGGAACTCTAGTATATTATGCTGGGGTTCCAGTATATGTATACTGGAGCATAATATCAATATGCTGGAGTTCCAGTATAATATACTGGTCCAACATAATATGCTGGAAGTTCATACTCAGGTGCTCCAATCTCCAGTATATTATGCTGGAACTTTCCGCGTGTCGGAGTTCCAGCATAATATAGTGGAAGTTCATATAAAGGTGCACCGATCTCCAATATATTATGCTGGAACTTTTCGTGTTGCAGCAAAATAGTGATTGTTTTTAATGACTTTGCAAACGCTAGCTTTTAAATGACCATTCCGAAAATCGGCTAGCCCATGCTATTTTTACCAAGTTTATCTGCATTAAAAGAGGAGACAATTCTAGTTTTAACAGCTATTTACAGCTTCTTTTATAACATAAACAATTTTAAAAATGATTTATTGTGTATAACTTTTTATCTATAATGGCGAATAATATCTAAATATCAAATATTATTATACGCGTCAAATAAGCTTATCACTATAAATGATAGAAAATATCTGAAAAAGCGAGGCTGTTATAGAAAATTTTGAAATATATACATAGTACTAAGAACCTCAATAAATATGGTTCAAGATGTAATAATCAGTGCGACTTCCAAGAACCTTTTAGCAGATTAAACTTTATACTATCATGTGAATCCTTCCGTAAAATATGCAGCTAAAAACGGTGCTTCTGATTCAAACTTCACAGAGACCTGCATGGTGAAATTAAACATTGGAATTAGTCAAACTTGAATATTTATATCAATTCAGAAATTGCAAGTTGCCAAAAAATATTTTGCTTCTTGCTTCAAATATAACAAATCATAAATGCAAAAGTTGGTTTTTGGTAATAGAATAAGCAACATAATTTATGAACGTTGAACTTCTTTGAGTTTAACATGAGTGACCTTCTACAAGGTAAAAATAGTACGTGCTAACCAGTTTTAGGACTGGTAATTGAAAAATAACTAGTATTTGTAAAGTCATTGAAAAATAGTCACTATTTTGCTGCAACACAGAACGTTTCAACATAATATACTGGAGATTGAAGCACTCGTGTATGAACTTCCAACATATTATGTTGGAACTCCAGCACACAAAAAGTTCCAGCATAATATACTGGAGATTGGAGCACCTGTTGATGAACTTCCAGCATATTATGCTGGAACTCCAGCACACAGAAAGTTCCAACATAATATACTGGAGATTGGAGCACGTGTGTATGAACTTCCACCATATTATGCCAGAAACCAGTATATTATGCTAGAAGTTCACATGTAAAAAATTCGAACTCCAGTATATCATGCTGGAATATTTTTGAATTTTGAATAGTGTTTTTATTCTGATTTATCTTTATATGAAAGTGTAAATTTTGATTACTCTTGAAACTGTAACTATTTTCAATTACCACTTGTAAATCTGGCTATTTTGACTTTCACCCTCTACAAGTTCTTACTACTTGTTAGAGGCGGAGCCAGAAGCCCGCTACAAGTTCGAGCGAACCTAATAGTTTTTGCGCAAACACTATATCATATTGGAAAATTTATTAAATATTTATAAATGTTAAATTTAAAATTCAGTTATTAGCACTTGAAATTATCATGCTAAAATCCTGAATCCATAAAGTTGAAATCTTAGCTCCGCCTGTACTACTTGCTATGGATAGGATCTTTCCACCTTTAATCAGATATCTCGATTTTGGGCTCTGAGAAATAAAAAAATAATTTGACAGAAAATGCTTCCCCCTTTTAATAGCCCTTACGCGATGCAAATCTGGATTAGTTGGGACTTCAATACGAATACCGAACACCACGTAGAAAAAAAAATAGTTTATCATACACAATACTCAGAAATACCTAACTCTCCTTTGACTAATTTTAACCAAGATATCCTTGGCAAACCTTAGAGTTTTGTTACTTATTAGTAGTGGTAAGATTGATAGAAGGTGCTTCTGATTCACACTTCACAAAGACCTGCATGGTGAAATTAACATTGGAATTAGTCAAACTTGAGTATTTATTTTCAAATTCTGAAATTGCAAGTTGTAAATTCTTTTTGCCTCTCGCTTCAAATATAAGGAATCTTAAATACAAAACTTGATTCTTGGTAATAAAATAAGCAACATAATTTATGAATGTTGAACTTCTTTGAGTTTCACATGAGTGATCTTCTACAAGTTCTCACTATGCGGAGCTAGAAGTCCGGCTATGGGTTCGGTCGAACCTAGTAGTTTTTGCTCAAATAATATATCTGTATTTAAAAATTCATTAAATATATAAAAACATTAAATTTAGATCCCAGTTATTAGCACTTCAGAACCCATAAAGTTGAAATACTGGCTCCGCCTCTATTACTTGCTATGGATAAGATCATTCCACCTTTAATCAGAGATCTCGGGTTCGAGTCCTGGAAAATGAAAAATATTTTGGCAGGAAGTGCTTCCCCTTTTAATGGCCCTTATGCGGCACAAATCTGAATTAGTCGAGGCTCCAATACAAAGTACCGAGCATCGGATAAAAAACCAAATAAATAGTTTATCATGCAAAGCTCTTGAATATCCAACTCTCCTTTGACTAATAACCAAGATATCCTTGGCAAACCTTAGAGTTTTGTTACTTAGTAGGGCTAAGATTGATATACAGAACATACCTTAATGAAGAATTAAAGTGCTAAATAATAGTAAATAATCCAGAATTTTAAGTCAGTAGATACAAAATACAAATGCACGCATTACTTTTATATGCCTCCAGTTGGCAGATGATTATGACTTTATTATAAGCATATAAAGACTAGATTTGAGAGTTCAAGATTGATCAGACAAAGAAAAAATTCCCATGGATTCCACTAAAAAAAACAAATTTCTTTCTTCTAACTTGTTTTTTGCCTTCATTTTAGTGTCATCAAATCTCTTAACATTATTCATTTCTACCTCTTTTAACACCTCTTGTTCTTTAAATCAGCAAATAGATATTGCTTCACCTGTTGTGGCTAAAGTAGCACCTGAATATGAAGCTGTTCAAGTATCTGATAACACACAATCTGATCAAAATCTTCCATCTGAGTTCCTTACTTTCACATCTCCACAAAAACTTCCTTTAGGATTCAGCAAGAACTTTGACTCTAACGAAATCATGCCACCGGTTGGTAGTCCGTGTACTTTGTTTCGCGATTTACTTAATCCTTACATGTCATATAATGTCAATGGTTCTTGTCCTGATGATGAACTTCTAGCACAAAAGTTGCTTCTTAAAGGTTGTGAGCCACTTCCTCGTCGTAGATGTCGTGCAGCTGCTCAACAAGAATATGTTGAGCCTTATCCAATTCCCGAGAGTTTTTGGAATACACCCTCTGATTCCTCTGTAGTTTGGAGTGGCTATTCTTGCAAAAACTACGATTGTTTAATCAATCGCGTTAGAAATCAGAGAGGATTTGATGATTGTAAAGATTGTTTCGATCTAAATGGCAAAGAGAAATCGCGTTGGACAGCGAAAACTGGTACTCGTCTTGACTTCTCTATTGATGAAGTGTTAGCAGTAAAGAAACCAGGAACAATTAGAATTGGACTCGATATTGGAGGTGGTGTGGCTACATTTGCAATAAGAATGAGAGAAAGGAATATTACAATTGTGACCACTTCAATGAACCTAAATGGTCCTTTTAATAACTTTATAGCTTCAAGAGGAGTTATACCATTATACGTTAGTATTTCACAAAGACTTCCATTTTTCGACAACACGTTGGATATTGTACACTCAATGCATGTAATGAGTAACTGGATACCGACTACACTTCTGCACTTCTTGTTGTTTGATATTTATAGGGTACTTCGGCCTGGTGGTTTGTTTTGGCTTGACCATTTCTTCTGTGCTGGTGATCAGTTGGAGCAAGTGTATGCGCCACTTATTGAGAGTGTTGGTTTCAATAAAGTGAAGTGGATTGTAGGGCGAAAGCTCGATAGAGGCCCCGAGCTAAACGAGATGTATCTTTCAGCTTTGTTGGAGAAGCCATTGAAGAATTCTTGGTAACACTATTTAGTGTTCCTTTTTTATTTTTCAACTCGGAAATAGGAGAGAAGAAAGTTGTGTTCTCCTTATATGTTCTTTTGTTCTATTGTACTCAAATGACATATGCAGACATCAAATACACATATAAAACAACTTGAGTTTGAATACAATCAAATCTCTTTATAATAGTCTCGTTTGTTCTTATATTTTTTGGATATTATAGTGAAGTGCTGTCATAGAGAACATATACTATAACATAACACAACAAATTTGTTCCGAAAAAGACTTGACTTTTATAGTGAATGGTTGTTACATAAAGATGTTATAGAGATGTCTGACCGAATATGATTCTTGCCTCTTGGTAGTTAAAAACTTAGATCTTGCTTCTGCATTTCTTGACAATTGCACTATTTGAGTGAGGAAAAATGATGTTTTCCTTTTGACATCAGTCAATAGTATTAATCCCTCAGCTTTACACTAAATTAACCATCTCTTGCATTTCTTTACAAACTTGTATCAGCACACTTACAGTTATTTGTAAGTGAAATCCATTCTTATTATGATTTCATTTCCAAGAATGGATTAGTTGATAATGACATATTTACACAAGGGACAATTAAATGTCTCTTATCGACATAATCAAGAATGGAGTAGCACATGATTTTGCTTGAGAAAAGATGATGCTCAGTACAAAGAAACTCATCAACATGGCCAGGAGATGGCAGAAGTTCACGGCCAAGCAGAGGAAGAGGATTTCACTTCCAAGAAATGGTAGTGATGCAGACAGTCATCAGTGGCGAAGTTAGGAATTTTCAAGGGTATTCAAATTTGAAAGAAGTGAAAAAAAAATTCCGACAAAAGGTATTCAATATGTGTGTTATATACATCTAAAACGTAATATATTAACATTGAAAACTGACCACCCTTGTGACCATGTGGCTTCGCCACTGCAGACAGTTGTAGTACATCCTCATCTTCTATAGTTGAGAAAGGCCAACTATAGAATTTTTGGAGTACAATTTAAATTTTAGCTTTTAATTTTTAAATATTTGATAACATGCTGTACCCAGCCACCAAACTGGGGCAGAAAAATTTTCTTTATTTGTTTTGTTGCAGTCAGGAGCCCACCTGGTGAACAAGGGAATACTTTCCAAGCTTTGCAGTCAGGAGCCCACCTGGAGAACAAGGGAATACTTTTCAAGCGTCAGCAATCAGGAGCCCGCTTGGAGAATAGAAGCATATATCTCAAATTTCAGTGGTCAAGCATCACTCGGAGGAATGGCAAAACATCTCTGATCATAATGCAAGGCAACACCAAGGATTCCATCAGAAGAATACAAGTTCAAGGCAACACAAGAGCAAGTTTGAAGATATAGATAGGACCTTTTTGTAATTCATAGCTTAGGCTAGCTTCTTTTTATTTTTGACGCGGTGTAATAAGGAGGTCAGCGGCAGCAACAACAGTGAAATCACAGCTCCTGGTAGTCCCAGCTATCGAACCTTCCCGAACTACACTGACCTGATTCCTGTTTAGCCCAGGATATGTAGGCAACCTTTGAAGCAGGGTTCGGTCAACTCTTTCAAAAATGCTTCACACGGAGTATGCAAACGGGCCAAAATCGCTCATTTCCGCTCACTTGTCTTTGCCCGAGAACTCTGCGTGTTCCCGAGCAAAGAGGGGCAGTTGTGAGCACGTGATTTTTACCCTATATATGAATTATTAAAAATCCAAACAAAATAATTTCTCTTTCATTATTTTACACTTTTGTGAATTTTGTGTTATTTTCTAAATGTATAGAATTTAGTACTATGGAACCAAAATGGTTTTTCCTGTTATCACAAATTTTTTATTTAATTTTTTCAAAGTATTGGCATTGGTGACAAGTCTAAGTATGAGCTGATATCATAACTAATAGGTCCAATCTATTGTCAACCCAAGTGAAGAAATGAAGAAACTTATTATTTTCCATCCTTTCAAACTTATTATTTAAGGTTCCATATCAACATGAACGACAGGCAGATCCAGTGCATTAGTTACGGGTTCCAGTAACTTTTGCCTAGATTCGGTATTTGTTATAAAAAATTTATTAAATGTATAAGAATATTTAGCTTGGAACTCAGTCCATTAATCCAATTGTTATTGTATATTAACTTGAGATTTCTGTAGGAACCCATAAACTTCATTAATTTTTAAATGAAGTAATTCTAAGGTGGAAGGTATTTCAAATTTACGGGTGCGGTATTTGTATAGGAACCTTTGAATGTGAGACAAATATCCAAACCCATTTCATACGTATATTTGTTGGAGATTTATTTCTTAAACACTTTATGTAACCGATAATTAATCCAAGTCCATGGCACCGATGATGTATCAGGGCTCAAGTGATTCACCCAAGCGATGAGACCTTGAAAGTAGGTTTTTGTAAGTATTAGTGGCGGAGGCAGGATCTCCACGAAGGGGGTTCAAAAAAAAAAATTTTGTAGTTAGTTGGAATTGAACCCATGACCTTATGCAGATTTTGAATCTCCTTGACCACTAAACTATACTTTTGAATTGTGTTAAAGGTGTTCAAAACTTAATATATAAAGGTACAAAATAGATTTTGCCTTATGTATACAGTGTAATTTTTCGGCGAAGGGTGTTCGGTTGAACACCCTTGCGCCCCCCTAGATCCGCCCCTGAGTGGCGGAACATTTTGTCAATCGGAGAAGGTTTCTACTGATTATAAGACCTGGAGATATCAGAAGTGAGAATGCTGACATGAGTAACGAAAACTTATGTGAAAAACACGATCGCTTGCTAGTGGAAGGTTTTTGCATTCAGTTAATCTACACAGATTGAATCGGTCCTAAGGAAGTCTCGATACACGAAAGTGAGGAAGTTGCTGTCTATTGGAGTGAATTGGATTTGAAAAATAAAATAAAAGAATAAAATTTATTCTAAAAAGACTTTAAAAAAATAATGTTCGATTTCAGATCGAGAATTAGAAAGTTATAACTTTCAGTCTCCAAACTTCTTCATTTTGTTCTAAAACGAAGAAAATATATATAACAGTGAGTCAATTTGAATTTCTGTTTTTGAAAAAGTCAACGTAAACCAAAAATCTATCATCATTGAGAATTAAATATTTTCAGAAATAGATTCTCAGAATTTCCTAGATAGAGAGTGACCACTGAAAAATTCAAACAATTCATAGAACCCTTAATATATTATTACTTTTTTACCTAACAAAGTCATTCTAGGGCCCCTAAATGACTCACTCAAATTTAATATATACACATATCACAAGCTCCAGCTAGCAATATTTAAAGTATTTTCGGACGCGGATCTAAGATTTGAAGTTCCTACAACGATCTTATCCTAATATATAATAGTAACCGAAGATTAGGTTCCGAGCTAAAAATTTTATACATTTAGTGGATTTGAAGGGGAACCTTGGAGTAACGGTGAAGTTGTCCCTGTGTGACCTACAGGTCACGGTTCGAGCCGTGAAAGCAATTGCTAATACTTGCATTAGGCTGTCTACATCACACTCTTTCGGGTGCGGCCCTTTCCTAGATCCCACGTGAACACGAGATGTCTTGTACACCGGACTGCCCTCTTTTTTATTTATTTAGTGGATTTTTTTAATACCACACATCCGCTCCTAAGTATTTTACTATATTTAAAAATATTAGATTTATACATCTAAATGAACGGTCAGATACATTGAAAATACAGTTAATATATACATAAATACGCCTAGCTAGTGTACACATAATAACTTCATGTATGACTTAGAGAAACTATTTCATCCCCATAATTCAACCCCTCCTGCCGGCCATAGAGAAAGCATGTCTTGTTGGTTAGTTGTTGTTCAAAGTTTGAAGTTATTTAATTAAGAATACATAGGTTGATAATTAGAGGCGAATTCATAATTTTAATTTAATAAGTTCGATGTTCAAGGTCTTTAGCATTAAATTCATTGTATCTTTAAATTTTTTAGTTCAAATTTAATATTTTGTTGAAAATTTAGCATGTTTTTCATGTATATATATTATTTTACGTCAGAAATATTAGGTACTGATGAAAGTGCTGACGAAAGGCTAGCTAGACTTGTCCCTGATGACGAGGTCTGTAAAAAATTTTGGTTTAACCATCAGCTATCCAAAGTTTAATAACCGGACTAATCTGCATTTGTGTCGCATAGGCCCTACTAAAAGAGAAAATGCTTCTTAACATGATTTTTATTTTTTTTATTTTTATGCCTCGAACCAGAAAACTGTTGTTGAAGGTAGAGGAAATCTCATTCAGAAATTAAATTTTGAATACATTCTTATTAAGATGGTGATATTGTTGGAGATTAAGAATAAATGATTCTGTTCTTTTGCTACTTCAAATATATTTTTCTACGGAAAAGGGCTAAATATACCCCTCTACTTTCAATTATTGTTTACCTGTACCCTTCGTTATACTATTGGGCTATCCATATCGCTACCGTCATACTACTGGGTTATCTATACCCCTATTGTCATACTTTGAAACAAAAATACCCCTATTTTTGGATGGAGTGCCAAGTGGCAGCACCAGATTAAAACGACCCATTTCTTTTATTTTTACCCGACCCGTATTTAAAAAACCCACAACCCGACCCCTATTTTCATTTTTTTCCAGTTTTTTTTAAAAAATTTCAGTTTTTGAAAAACGAAATATTATACTAAAAAACAAAAAATATTTTTTTTTTCTGTTTTACAAATTTGTTTTTTCAGTTTTTACAAAACAAAATTCTTTTAAAAAAATGAAAAAATGAAAAAAAAAATATTTTTCAAAAACGAAAATATTTTGTTGAAAATAATTTTTCCAGTTTTTAAAAAACGAAAATATTTTGTTAAACAATTATTTTTTTTTCTGTTTCTAAATAAAAAATCAGTTTATACAAATTTGTTTTTTCAGTATTTACAAAAAGAAAATCTTTAAAAAAATTGAAAAAAAAAATTTTTTTTTAAAACGAAAATATTTTGTTGGAAATATTTTTTTCAGTTTTTAAAACACGAAAATATTTTGTTAAAACTGAATTTTTTTTTCAGTTTTTACAATTTTTTTTCAGTTTTTACAAAAAAAAATATTTTGTTAAAAAAAATGATTTTTTTCAGTTTTTACAATTTGTTATGCAAAATATTTTCAGTATCTACTCAGTTTAAAAAACGA